AGATAAAAACTAGCAAGAGACTCTTCAGAAGAAGGAACCACATGGGTGGAGCTGGTTGGATACCCTGGGTGCCAGCTGTTAGATCCAAGGCAGATGGGCTTTGCTCTGCCCTGCAAATGCTTGTGTTTGGCCAATAATCACACGGCACAAAAGCCAGATTCCAGCAGTGAAAGGCAGAGCAGAGAGACATTTTTTTTCCTGGCACTTGTTACTCTTTGGATGCTATCTGCACTAAAGGTTTAGATTAAATTAATATTGCTGGCCATATGTTCTGTATACTGTGGTTATATAGTGTTGTCTTGGTTGCTAGCTACTTTGGATGCTGTGGTTAAGCAAATTGTTGCCTTAGCCACCAGCCACATTTTTAGTACAAGCTCTGACTTTTTAACTTTTTCCCCCTTTCTCTTCAGAATACTGTTTCTTGGGAGTTATGATGTGCTGTGCCACTAGGTTAAGTTATCTAGAGATTGGTTAGCCCATCAATCCCAAGGATACATTTATACCTCTCTTTCTTTTCCTTATTGACTCACTCACATGTGGTTATATATTGCCTGTTTATCAACTGAATGGTCTAGGACTGAAATGATGTGTCTTATGAGAACATTGGAGAAGGCCTAGAAAGCCTTTCTCATGCCTTTTAGCATCCTGAGTCCCATCCTTCTTGGTTTAACACATATCACCCTATGTATTAAAGTTAAATTCAAGTGGTAATTTTTGTGCATTGAGTATCCCCTACTACTATTAAAATGGTGAACTGTCCTGAGAAAAACAATATATTGCCAAATATTATGTTATAAATGAGTTTATAAAATTATTTAAATCTCTAAATGAAGAGAAAGATGGGAACACATGAAAGCATTGGGCAGCTTATAAGGGCAGTAGAGGGACTGGAAAGGAGCTAAGAAATGAAGAGGAGCTGCAGCCTCTGGAGTCTTTGCTCAGACTGGGACTGTACACGTTCCTCACTTAGACCATCACCACCCCTGACAGTAAAAATAGCAGATGAAGGAGTCCACCTACGACTTGGTTGCCATTTGTTGGACTTCTCGCTGATTTTCCTGTGGTATATGCTGTTTCAAAATGCCATTAAAAGCCATTTCTTGATGTATAACCAGAGCAGTGATTCAAGTTGGGTACTTCTTCCTCCCCATTGCATAAGAGAACTTTTGGTGGACAAACAGATCTTTAACTTTTATCTATTGGCACAAAATTAAATACAGTGTCTGACAAATTTTAGCTTACAGACGAAAAGCGAGGGTTGCATTTCCATGTTAAGGACCATCATATTTGATTCTTTAATGCCAAAGAATCAAAAGATAAACAAAAATCTCTAAACAAGATAAAGTTTTTCTAGAGGATTTAAAGTAAATATGTATTGGCAATGGCATCTTTGTACTTAACTTTTGTAATATGAGGCCATTAGTTTTTTTTTAAGCATGAAAGAAGGATTGCACTTAACAAAAAAACAGGTATACAGTTTGCATGCCAGTAACTTTAGGTGTTTAAGAATAAAATATAATTACTGCAGTCTTAAATTTGGCTGATTAAATTCTACAGAACATCTGCTTATCTCCAGGGGATATAGACACTAAGCCACCAGAATTTTATTTTCAATTAAGTGCATACTGACTATTCATGTGGAAATTTTATGTTTTTGGTTATAAACTATAAGTCTTTAGATTTGAAAGCATAGTGGTTTTATGTAACTGGATATAATTATTCCCGACAGGGCTTGAAATCAACTTCTTAGCAATGTTTTACAGACTACTTTAAAAGAAGTTATGTACAAGAGACTTGATCATATAAAAAGAATCTAAACACAATCATTTCTCTTGTTGACTTAGTTTATATTATTTCCAGTTGATCCATATTTTCTACTTTCTAAAGCTAAATTGCTGCATTTTTCTTAATTTGAAAGTATGTGTTTTAAAAATCCATCCATTTAGATGCATTGGTTTACAGAGATATCCTGTTGCTACTGACTTGAAAAAAAAATCTGTAAACCTGCCAAGTGTGGGAGTAAAAGTTGGAAGATTTGTATGCTGTTGGAAAAAGATAGTACAATGTTGTAGGAAGATTTGGAATAGTTTACTGGTACAGTCAATTCTTGAGTGTGAAATACCATGTTGTCTAATATAACATTCTAGAAGAAAATCAACAAAAGATGAATGCAAGAAAAAATGCATCTTCATAAAATATAGAGCAACTTTAGCTGTCTGTTCAAAGACTTTTAATTTCTCATAAAAAAATTCTGAAACTGTGAAGCTGAAATGAACCCTAAAATACTCTTAATTCCTAATTTTTAAGAAGTCTGGAAGGCATGACCAAAATTAAGTCAGTTTGTAATTCCTAGCACTTAGCCCAATATCTCATAAGAAGCACAATGCCTTATGTTTAGTAACTATTCTGTGTTGAATGACCGAATGAGTGAGTGAATGAATGACCTGCCAATCACATTCAACTGGCAGTTTTAGTTTGTGTGTGTATGTAATTTTTAAACTAATTACTGGGTCCTACCAAATATGAAAATATCCCTGAAAATAAAGATTTAGAACAAATATATGGGACTGTGGGTAATTTTTATTTTGTTCCTTGTGGTTTTGTATATTTTTTCATATTTTTAACAATAAGGTTTAAGTAGCGAATTTTTTTCAAGACATACACATGGCTAGGATTTATCTTAAAATGAAATATAAATCTCACCTCTGCTAATGCATATCTCATCTATGACTCAAATTGCAGAAGCCTTGCTTTTGCATTAAAGGCTACTTTTGAAAATGAACGTAATTACAGCTGAACATTTCTAGAGTTAATTTAAAGAAAGCAGAATTTTATCTTGACCTGTAAAACCTGAATTAATGTTTCTGCCACTGAAATAAATCAACATCAGTTGTATTTTGTAGTGTTGAAAATGTTTAGCCCTTTCTGAGAAACAACCAAGATACTATATTGAGTACCAATTGTTCTTGTTTCAACTATAGTCATATTTGAATGACTTTTAAAAAATAACCATGCTAACTTGTAAAAACAACTGCCTAGTCTTCCTGATAGAAGCAAAATACTGAACCAGGGTGCATGGATAATCTGAGCCACTGTTGGAGTTGGTAGTTGAATCCCATGACTAATGGTAGAGATATCTGTCTAGGTGGACCACATGGATTTAGTTATCTGCCCACTGGAATGACACAACGGGGAGATATCTGATGAATATCATGGAACATCTGTGAATGGATCACAGCTATGCCTGATGTGAATCATTCTTTCCTCAAAAATCTAAAGTTTAATAGTTAAAAAATTCCAAACTGTTGTCGTCTCATAAACTGAATCGTTTGGCTTATTCTAGGGCTTGGGAGGGAATGAATACAATACATACTCTGAGACATTTTGCCAGTAAGTTGTTTGGCTATGTTTAAGACCCCTAGATTTAGGAAAACCTAAAAACTTGTTGAAGGTGATCAGTAGGAGCCTTGGGTTACTGCAAGCAATAAAAAATATTTTTTTCAACTATTCACCACTGTTGTGGAAGCTACAGGATTTAAGTCTCATGAGCTTGGTGAATTTGATAGTTTTCCCTGTCAGTCTTTAAATTCAAAGGGCTTAGTTAAAGGTGTGTATAACATGATAACAGAGGCATTTCCACCTGCAGAATTTCCAGGACTCTTTAAGTGACCCTGGGGGAAGCATTTGGTGCCTATCTCTTTAGGAGACAGTTTCCTTCACTGAATGATCCTGTTTTATATAGATTTCCCTAATTTGTGATCAGACTCTTTTGGGGGGGTACTGTTATTTAAAAACAACTGGAAAAAACAAAAAAAGAAAAACCGAAGGATTGTGTGGGATTAGCTAGGTGTGAAGCTATGATTTCCTGGATACTGCTAATGCTGCTTTTACAACTTTTTCTAGGTAATTTGGCCTGTTTATAGGGACGGGTGTGTGAGTTGGGGGGCATAGCTTAGTTTGTGCCTTTATTTCCATTTCCAGGAATAACCTGTTACTCTATACGGTCTGAAACATTTAGCATTGTCTTGTAATTTGTTTCTTTTTGATATCCTGCTATTACCTATCTTTGCTTTTTTTGATTCCTTGACACTAAAGAGAAAATGATTGTACATGAAATCTGTTCACCAGGGATGTTTACAAATAGGAGTGTGTGTGTGTTTGTGTGTGTGTGTGTTTGTGTCTTTGTATTTTGTGAAATGTGAGCAAGCTGTGGTGGATATCTTTGCTAATAAATAATAAACATATTTAATATTTTATAAATTTTATAATGAGAATATTTTTAGCTGTGGTAAACAGATCACACAGACTAATTTTTAGGAATGAGATAAGTATTTTGTAAGTTAATATTTGAATGAACTGTATGTGTATTTCTTTGATAATGGTATAATCAACAGGAAGCCAACTCTATTAGAGAAAACAGACTAGTTGGTTACCATCCCAAAGAAGCCCACTGCAATCTTTAAATTCTAAACAACTAGTGGGCTTTTAGAGAGATAAATATATAAATGGAAGAAAAAAACAAATGTGTGGATGTGATGTGTTCCTAACGAAGACTAAATTGATGGCGTTTGTCCTACAAAACGTCAAAAAGTAAATTTGTCCCTATTGTTTTATTTTTAAATAAATATACAGCCACTGTTTTGCATTGAAACGTATATTCATATATTTTATCTGATGATATTTTGGGGAATTGAAGTTTGTTTTGTTTTTAAGGAAAGCACGAAGAATATACAAATGGGAATGCTAATTGTTTAAGATTACCAATAGTTTCTTTTCTGGATTGAAAATAGTTATGTTTCTAAATATGAGAACAATAATTTTGCCTAAAATTTCAGTATAATGACCAGGACTTCTCTCCTTTTTAGAGAAGCAGTCAAGTGTGGAACAGATAAGACAGCAGCGATCCAGTGAGGTTGCTTGCCCACAGAGGAAAGCTATGCATACCTAACTTATTAGAAGGTAAACTTCTCTTCAATTAATGATGTCCTCCTTTTCTCAAGGTGTCCAAAGACAGGAGGTGGTCTGTAAAAGGTTGGATGACAACTCCATTGTGCAGAACAATTACTGTGACCCTGACAGTAAGCCACCTGAAAATCAAAGAGCCTGCAACACTGAGCCCTGCCCACCTGAGTAAGTAAGGGAAAGAAGGAAGAATTATTTTCTTCAGGTATAAAGAGAATATATTATGTATTCATATTTGGAAACATATTCATAATGGTAAGAACAAATTAGACTGGGAAAAAGGCAGAAAACATCTTAGATGGTGGAATTTCGATGTCCTTTTTACTGAGCAAAGATTTCATTTATCCATAGGTTTCAGCTATTAACTCTTTTAAAGCAGGAACTTCAGTGAATTTGGGTCCTGGAAATTACCATATTTCATCAATTCTAAGGCACATATCTTTTCACATTTTAATCTCTCTGAAATTAGGATTCGTGTTGCAACTGATGGTGTCTTACAATAATAATTGACCTTTTTTTCCCTTCTCTTAATGATACATAAAATAATTGTGTCTTAGATTTAATAAAATACAGTGATTTGTTTGCACTCCTATCTTTTCCAGATATTTATCCTAACCTCCTAAAGATTTTTGAAAGGTTTTAGAAATATTCTGGAATGGAATGATCAGTGCTTTAATTTGCTGACTCAGTTTTAAGTTCTGTTGTAAGTTCTGTCTTCTGAGTGTTGGGCACAGGCATAAGTGTATACTTCAGTCTCTTTCTGTTGATTAATGTAGCAATTACAACTCCTTGTAAAGGGAGGCACAAAGAGAGAGCCCATTCATCTTAATGGTGGTTTAAAAGTGAGATCTGCTGTCAGTGAGCCATACTTTATAATCTGCAAGAACAGAAATGTTTCTTGATGAACAAGAGGCAATGATTATGTGAAAAAAGACAGAGGATGCTGAGCTGATCATGACAATTCTGGTCTTTATAGTGATTTTTGCCTGACAACTACAAGACGAAACATGTGTTAATGGCATTTCATTCTGTTTGAGAAATCAGATCAACCTTTATCCACCTGATTAGCTAATTATCCTGACATGAAATTGATAAGGAAAAAGGATAAGCAAATGAATTTATATGCCCCAAACTCTCTAGAACTAGAGAGAAGAGCTTCACAATGAATTAATTCCCTTTTCTAAAAATGACCACAGTATAGTTACAAAAACCTGAGCCTTAACAATAGATAAAGAATATGTTTCCTAATATGGCTAAAGCAAGGTGCATTTCATAATATCTGTTCCAAAACAATAATACCTTCTGAACTTTCATTACCCAAAGTCAGTGTCTGCCCGAACATTTGAATCTTAAAGGTGATATTCACTATTAGTCCCTTGAAAAGGTTTAGGGTAGTGGTTACCAAAAAACAAGCACAAGGAATCTAGAGTGATAGAACTTTTTATTCTAAGACTTTTGTAATTTTATATCTGTTCTTTTCAAAATGTTAGTACCATAGATCTAATTCCTTAAAATCCAGGCATGGGAAAGTGTGGAAATGTAACCTATCATATCTACTACAAAGATAAATTATTTAATTTTTTTCATATTCCTCTTTTCTGCAATGATTTTTATAAATTTATCTCAAGGGAAACTGAAAAATACGTAAAACAAAGTGATGCTCAAAATCCATGGGCCAATTTTGTCCCTTCCCATGTTTCCAGTAACTTCAGTATATTTTCATGTAATTGCGAGCCTCAACTACAGTTAATTCTGTGACACTCAAGATTTTAAGTATTATATTTGGCAGTATTATATTTGATCAGCCTTTTAGGACATCTGAGTGGGCCTGGTCATACCTGTTTTATTTTGGCCTAAGCTTTTTCATTTGCTTAAACTTAAATGCTTAAAATGTCCCATGTCCTTAGAGATTTCAATCATTGGTCATTCCATCCCATAAACTGTGGATTTCAGTATTACACTGGAATTGGAGTCATTTCTTTTTCAACAGTTTAAAGATAATTGACATGATTAAAATAAGTTTTCTATCTCCTTTCCTTTCATAGTTCTGAAATAAAGTTACTTATTTAAGTTTGGAGGTGAGGGATGGAATTCAAAAGAGAAAGATACAGGGAATATGAGAATATGAGAAAGATAGAAAATTCAGTGTGACAGTTTTCTTTTTTGAAAAGACCTAAATGCATATATTTAAAATATTACTCATTATTAGTCTATTTTTTCTTAGTTCCTTTTAAATTTCTTCTTTATTGCTTTGAATTTAGACGATGACAAAAGAAATCTTATTTCTTCAGAATGCTTATCAGATATGCTTCTCAATTTACAGTGGGCTTACATCCTAATAAATCCATCGTAAGTTGAAAATGCATTTAACACACCTATCTTACTGAATATCATAACTTAGCCTAGCCCACCTTAAACATACTCACAACCCTTACACTAGCCTACAGTTGAGCAGTGTCATGTGGCAACACAGTATACTGTAAGGTATCTGTGGTTTACCCTGTGGCAACACAGCATACTGTAAGGTATCAGTGGTTTACCCTGGTGATTGGGTGGCTGACTGGGAGATGCAGATTACTCCTGCTGCCTAGCATCACAAGAGAGTATTGTACTACATATTGCTAGCCTGGGAAAAGATTAAAATTCAAAATTCCAAGTATGGTTTCTACTGAATGTCTGTTGCTTTCACACCATTGTAAAGTGGAAAAATTGTAAATCAAACCATCATAAGTCAGGGACCATCTGAGATTCCCAGTAGACATTGGTATTATAGAGATAAAAATCATAGAAGGACTACTGAATTCAGTAAGTCTACCTGAGTGTGAAGAAAGCAGATAGGTGTTTTTTTAAAAGATAATCATGTGATAGGCAGATAAGCAAAAAGAAGATAAAAAACCCTAAAATACCACCATTAGTATTTTGATGTATATATTTCCAGTCTTTTTTCTATGTATACATAGGCACATGTGTGTAACAGAAAGGTATTATTACTATTTAGATGCTTTGGAGTCAGTTCTCAACATATATTGAACATTAAATATCTTCAACAAGGTTTAGTAGGTATGTCATTGTTTATTTAAATTAGTATTCCACTGTTGAACAATTTTGGCTTTCAATTCTTTTGATTCTTGCTTTTGATTCCCTACAAACCACAACATTAACCATTTTTGCTGCTAAAATGGCTCTCCATAATTACGTCCTTATGCTAAATAAATAGGAATAGAATTTCTCGTTCATATAGAAGCATATTTTAATCTTTGAGATACATTGTCAAATTGCTCTCTGGAAAGATTGTATGAATGTACACTCCTACTAAGAGTACATATAAGAATGCTATTTCCCAGAAGTGAACAACACTGGGTATTATTATTTTAAAAAACAATCTTTGATTATTTCATAGGGGAAAACCCCAATATTTAATTGCTATTTTATTTTGTATTTCTTGGATTGTTGATGAGGCTGAACATTTAAAAATTATGTTCAGTGGCCATTTGTACTATTTCTCTTTTACTTATTATCTTCTTGCCCTGTTCTATTTCTCATTTTGTTATTGATTTGTATGAATGCTTAATGTATTAAGGATATTAACTCTTATCTGTGTTCCAAATATTTTTCCTAGTTTTTCATGTTTTCCATATTATTTGTGTTGTTTTGATCTGTTTATTTCTTTTACTGGTATATGTTTAGAAAGGTTTTCCCCACTCCAAGATTATACTTTCAAAGTTCCATTTCTTATTTTTAATGTAATCTTTAATCTATCTGAAATTTATTTGCCTAATTTGAAGAAGAGACCTATATTTATTTTCAAATATTATTTTTCCCAATGTCATTAATTTAAAATCCTAAATGGTATTTTTAATCAGGAAGTATTTTTTCGAATAATGAAATATTTCAAATGTCTTTAGTTATATTGAAATAATTTATAAGTATAGCATAGAAAAATACAGAACAGTAAGATTTATCCTTCTATTATGTAAAGAAAATGGCAGGATACTAGAAAGAATAGACAAAAGGGACATTGATAGAGAAATAGTAATAGTATTTATTTGGAAGACTTTGAAGGTTCAGAGGAGGCCTTGTTAGGGAAAGTTAGCATGCTCATAGCAGCAACTCTTTCATAAGAAAGAGTATAGTAGTCAAGGTGGTGAAGTGACTGTAAGTGAAAAGTGGGAACCGTGAGATAGGCCTAAATAATTGGAAAAAAGAAAAGGAACAAGTTGATATAAAAGGGTATGATTAATAGGAAGCTAGTACCCCACCATAAGAAAAGAAAGTAATGCTGAGTTGGAATCCAAAGAGAAAGGCTAGGAGTTCAGTTTTTACCAAGCTGTGTTTTAATAGTAAGAATATTTCTACCTATGATCTCATGCAAAGAATCCTCGAATATGTAATATTATTCCTGTAGGATACTGTGGTTTTTAAAATTATGAAAACTGGAGAGGTGAAAACAAGGGAACTATACATTTTAATGATACTATGACCAAAATTTAAAAAACATTTATTAGTCAAATTAGACTTACTGAATTCAGTAGTCCTTCTATAATTTTTATCTCTATAATACCAATGGAAGGCACGGTACTTTGAGAGAAATCATCCATTTTTTTTCCTAAGGATAATCTAATTGGGCAAATACATATAAAAATAACTATAGTACAAAACAAAATATGATAAAAACAATAAGAGTTACAAGCAAAGATGCTAAAGGAAACTCAGAGTGAGAAGAGATTAATTTTTGTCTAGTGGCTAGGTTTTATTTAATGGTATCTCTTATGGTTTAATGTTTAACAATTATTTTGAGTCATTGGACCTCACCCATGGACAACTATAATCTGTTATTTTAAGTTTAAAAAAATATTCATCAGAGTGGTCTATAAAACTATAAAATTTAAGACCTGGGAAGAATCATAGAAATCATCTAGGCCAACGCCCAGCATTTTAACACATGAGGGCATGATAATCACCAGTGATGTTTTTCCCATTATACCAGACATCACTAACTTTGTAAGTTACAAATTAAATGTCTGGTGGCACTTTAATACATCTAATTTTGATTGCTTCACTTTCTCAATTGCTACAACTTCAGACATTTTTATTACTTTGACTTTTTAAAATTTAGGAAAACCTCGACTATGGAATGTTTATAGCATAGAGAGTTCTGCTTAATATTAGTTTCATGTTCCAATTAGCTGAGGAATTAAAGAAATTCTTTTTGTTGTTGTTTTGATAATCTTTCTAAAAATTATTTTAAAACCTAGGAAAGTTTTAGTGTCTTTGTAAATAAGCAATATGTTATATAGTTGAATTTCTCTTTGATTAAAGATGTAATTGTCAAATTCTGAAGATTTTTTAAATTTTGCTTTGTTGTGTTAATAAAGGCTAGGAAATCTCTCTCTTTTAATCCAAATATTTAATATCAGTTTATTTTCATATTCTCTGACATTTTCCTTTAAATTAAAAGGCAAAAATAATCTGGTTTTATGATGGATTATTTCTTCAAAACATTATGGTTTACCAAGGTTGGGGCAAATTTTTTATAGTGTCTTTCTTATTCCCTCCTCCAAATAATGTTATCATTGATAATAATAAGAGACTGAGACTGTAGACCAAATTACAGAGGGTGTTAGCAAACCACTCTTATTTCAGACATTCAAACATAAATCCCACTAATTGTTAGCATCTAATGAATATGAAGGCACTTGTGAGGATGAAGACAGTTTGATCACTGGGTGTTGGGAAGAGCTCAGAAAGAAACAGCCCTGGGATTGTTCAGGCTGTAACCACTCAGCAGTTAATATTCCCAGAGGAAATTTCTGTGTTCATATTTTTACCACTGAATCTAGAGGAGGAATAAAAGACAGAGAAATAGGGAGAATGCCATCAAAGGGTCAAATATATGGAGAATGAAGATAAAGGAAGCAGTATGTCTTAAACTAGACAGGAGAATGGAGAAACTGAGACAAGAAATTGCAGTGGTAGAATTGCAAAACTATTTACATAACTAGGGTGTGATTTAATCCTTCAGAGTGACTTGGGAAGGGATGATATGATGAGCAATAAAGATGTAACAGGGACTGAATGTGAAGTCTGAAATCAGAGTTAAAGTCAGAAAGGACATGGGGAGGGTGATGAATACTTTTACTTTCATACATTCCAAATTGAAGGCTGGAGTGATACATCAGGCTAGGTTTCTGAGGCAAGATGGTTGGCAATAAAAGAGGGGACAAAGAACAAAAAAGCAGAGGTGGCCCTGACCCCTTGCAACAAAAAAACAGCAATACCTCCTGTTGCAATCACTGCTGTTACTCTGAGCACCTGTGTTTAATTTGAAGGCCTCCGTCCTTCTTACATTATGAGACTTAATGAGATCATGGCTGGAGGTAGCATGACTGAACTTTGTGTGACTGAGCTATACACATTTCTGTTTTATCCCCTAATCTTGGTGATGAAATCACTGTTGCGAATTGAATCAGAGTTTCACTATGGCTGGCATGCAAGTTATTATTCTCCGTACACATATTCCTCCTTACCAAAAATAGTACTAACAACTTGGGGTAATGTTCATCTGTGGAAAACAGAAAGGAAATATGAAAATCACTTTAAACCTCCTTTGGAAAATGACAAGAAAGAAATGTTAATGTATGATTTTAAAAAATTCAAGATTAAATTGTCATTCTTTGAATGAATTTTAGGTTGAAAATTTGTAGATTTTGACAAAATATATTTTAAGTCTGAAAAACTGGTTAACTATGATATTTCTAAATGCTGATTTCCTGTATAAATAAAGGTAATACAAGTGATAATGAACAAAGGCCATATGGCTTAGTTGGCTGAGTACAGGCTCAAATGTAGGCTGCTTGTACTCTGACTTCACTAAGGTATTATCTTCCAAATACAAAACTGGCACAATGGAGCTATGCTCACAGAAATAGTGAGAAATTTATCCTTAAGCTTTCCATATTCTTCTGGGCAGTCTCCTACCCAAGAGCATGAGCATATCTATTGATTAATTATAAATCATAGCTGCATGATATGTAATTATGGAGTAAAGAAAATGGCTAGTGACCTCATGTTTGTGACCTAGATTTTACTGTTCAGCAATGTTAAAAAATGAAATGTAGTTGAAATAGCAATTGATGGGGGAATCTAATCCTGGATCCATCATTTCTCTTTTCATGATTTTGGAGAACCTTTTTTTCTAGTACTGTGTCTTACTTTCTTGTATAAAACAAAGCACAATGTCTGGAACATAGTAGACATTCAGAAAATACTTATTAAATTAAATACAATAATATATCAGTCAAGACTCTAGTTGCAAGTAACAAAACTTCACGTGGGTTGGCTTCTTTCTGCACATAAGGTCTATGTAACAAAGCTGAGAGAAGATCTAGCTTGAGGAATGGCTAGAGAATCAAGAACTCAAACACCATCAGGATCTTCTAGCTCCTCTGTAGTCTTTCAAATCAGCTAATTCCACTTGACAGGGAACGTGGCCACTGCAACTCTAGACTAATCTTTTTATATACCTTTGTGACCAGAAAGGAAAGGGTCCCTTTTGCTCTAGTAGAGCTATAAAAATTCTAAAGCAGAATCCTCATTGGCCTGATTTAGATCATGATTCACATCCCTTGGACCAATTGATGTGTCTAGGAGAGTGAGTTCTGCAGAAGTATTACCAAAAAGAAAGAAAGAAAGAAAAATCCTGAAATTATATATATATATATATATATATAATATATATATATATATATATGAAAGTTTATTTATGACTTTAGGGAAAAGGAGTAGCATACCTATAAATGTGAGACATGTTCATTTTGTTTGACTTTTGAGTTTCTTCCCACATGAGCTGTGTATAGGCTGTTCGTAGGAGCAAATGGGGCCAAAACAAGGGATCTCCATGTTTTCATAGAGCTGGCTCAGAGACTGTTCTTGCTGAAGGTGTTTTAAGACTCCCATGTCCTGAGGGTGGAGACCTGGCCTTCGCTGTCCCTGGAAGGACATGAAAATCCTTCTATCTTCATAGAAATTCATTTCTGGAAATCAGAAAACAAATCCCCAGCTCTTTTAGGATGATTTTAGCATAAAATCCTTAATTATGGGAGATCCTGCCTCAATTTTATTAGATGTAATAATAAAAATAGCTACAGTTTCTTGTTTGTTATATGCCAGACACTATGTTAGAAGCATTCAGTGGTGTACTGAAGCCAGCTAGTACTGGTTCATGAGACCCTATTATTAGCATATCTTCTCTTGTTTATGTTTATTATGTCATGCTGGTAGCTTAAAATTGGCCATAGTGAAGTTTTTACACTACAAAGATTGGCAAACACCACAAATCAGAACTCCCTCCCTACAATGAAGAGCCAGTTAAACATTTCCCAGCACACCCCTGGGAGCTTTATATATATTACCTTATTTAATTTTAATGACAGTCTTATGACATTGATAATTGTTATCCTCATTTTAGAAATTAAGGCCAGGTGTGATGGCTCATGCCTGTAATCCTAGCACTTTGGGAGGCTAGGAATTTGAGACCAGCCTGGGCAACCTAGCAAGACCCTGTCTCTACAAAAAATAGAAAAATTAACTGGGCATAGTGGCACAGGCCTGTAGTCCTAGCTTCTCAAGAGGCTGTGGCAAGAGGATTGCTTGAGCCCAGGAATTTGAGGTTCCAGTGAGCTGTGATGACACCACTGCACTCTAATCCAGACAACAGAATGAGACCATGTCTCAAAAAAATAAAAGAAAAAAGAAAAGAAAGAAAAAAGGAGAAAAATCAAAGAGGTTTAAAAATACCTAGTGCACAGCTTGTTTGAACCTAGTTTCTGCCTGCTCCAAAGCCCATACACTACACTTTAGAAGGGAAATGACAGTGAGTGATCTTTTCTTTAGTAGCTCTTCCTTTGCCATTTGTTGTATCAATCAACATTGAAATGTCGCCTTTTCTAGGAAAAGGGTGTAGGTCATCAATGAGAGTGCCTTCGCTCAGCTGAAAATCTCTGGAAGCACTGAGGAAATGCTCTTCTGTGTTTCTTCCACTTCTTGCTGCAGGTGGTTCATTGGGGATTGGTTGGAGTGCAGCAAGACTTGTGACGGCGGAATGCGCACGAGGGCAGTGCTCTGCATCAGGAAGATCGGACCTTCTGAGGAGGAGACACTGGACTACAGTGGTTGTTTAACGCACCGGCCTGTCGAAAAAGAGCCCTGCAACAACCAGTCATGTCCACCGCAGTGGGTGGCTTTAGACTGGTCCGAGGTAAGGAAATCTGAGGCTATATGTTTTGAGATGTCTTAACTATCAATACCAAAGCATTTAATATTGAATGACACCTGAGCCTGTGAGCGTCTTCGCACTCAACAAATAAGGGACTGCCTGACAGTGGACTTAGCCGTGTTATATTTTATTGCTGCTTGCCAGGAAATAAGGGGTTTTTTGGGTCTGGGAATGAGAAATTAGTCATCAATTTGATTAAAAATAAGTCTAAAGTGAATTTAAAATAACATTATAGTGAGTACTCACGAAAGTAGTTTTTCTCCTTCTGACTGTTGAACAGCATCACAAGTTCAGAACTAGTGATATGTGATTAATAATTGAAGTTCAAAAGAAGAGTCAAAAACCTTTCTTACCCTGAAACTTATTGAAGACCTGGAATGACCTTTTCTAGGATCTCATTGGAAGGCACACTTTTTTTATATCTTTCTTTCAAGTATTTTAACAGCCTAATTACATAATTCTTAGATATGAATCTTTATCAATTAATTATCACTTGTGATATATCTATATATACATATTTTAATTGCTTCTATTGCGTCTGTGGAAGAAATAATGGAGCTAAGGGTTATAACATCAGAAAGTCAAATTCAGAATTTACCATTACCTTCACTTACATAATCAGTGAGGAAGACTTAATGGAATGTTTTTCTGGCATACATGTTTACCAAATAGCCTAACATAATCCAGAGGCACTTAAAAAAATTATGAAAAATGAGGTAAGAGGTAGTTAATTTTTGACTCCTCAGTATGCATAAGATATACGCATATATATATATACTATACCATACCATTCTCCACATTTCCCAAAGAAGAACTGAATCCTTCTGTAGTGTTGGTTAGTGTTAAAAAGAATGAGCCAGGGCAGTGGTGCACGCCGGTAGTCCCAGCTACTCAAGAGGCTGAGGTAGGAGAATCACTTGAGTCCAGGAGTTCGAGATCAGCCTGAGCAATACAGTGAGATACCGTCCCTTTAAAAAAAAAAATGAGACCTGGCTATATAAATATAACTAGAGATAATTCTTTCAAGTTAGCAAAACAGGATGCGTTTCAGACTCTATTCTAATATATCCTGCCAGAAACATTGTGGTACTTGCTCTGGGTATTTCCTGTAGACCTCATAAGTTTGTCAAAAATAAAAAATAAAAATAAACATTGTTCTTTAGGAATCTCTGGATATAACTATTCCCCTGTGGATCTTACTGCTTGAGTGGCCTTATTGTGCTAGAGGCATGGGACTAAAAGAGGGACTGTGTTTAAGATGGTACATGGAAGTGGCGACCAATTGTGGTTATCTATGGAATCTTTGGCAGGAATTGGGAGTTTCTTCCAAGTTTCCTGGCCATACTCCAGCTTCAGTAATTACATTCTGCCTACCTAACTTTATTTGTAGTTTCAATCAAATGTAGAGATATTCTTGATACTATTCAGTCAGTGGTTATGGAAAATAGTATGGACTCTTCTTTTCCCTAACAGGGCATGTGCTAATGCCTAAACTCATTTGAAAGATAAAATCCAGTGATAAAAAAATAGATACTCTGCAGAGTTGTACACATGGTAATGCACAGGACCCTTATAGAAATCCATAATATTTATGATAATTATGGGAAATTTGTTGCTGGAAAACCATAATGGAAAACCTGATGATTAGATATGACAGTTTTAAGGTTTCACATCAAGTCAGTAAGTTTAATTGAGTACTTACTAAACACACTGGGATGGGCACTATGGAGAATATGAAATAATCCTGTAAGCTTGGGAAATAAAAAATATCCATGAGACAATGAGAGAATAATACATATAAGATAATGTTTAATAAAACAGTGGGTTGTGAGGTATAAATGTGTAATTAATATAGAAATTCAGAGCTGAGAAGCTCAGAGTACCCCAAAGTAGGATCAGAAGCCTTTTTAGTTGAGAGTTGAACTGAATGTTAAAAGGTATAGAATTTGAAGTAGGGAAGATAATAAGGAAACTAAAGAAAGTATTCCTGAAAAAAGAAACAGCTGAACAGAAACATAAAGGCTGTGTGAGGAAAGCAGTGTGGGAGAAAAGGGTTTGTTTTAAAGAATAAATAAAAGATTGAATAAAGTAGCAATAGGTTAACTTGATTAGGTTAGCCTTGATTACAAAACTCTATACCACATCATCCTTCATAAGCGAAAACTAGAAGAAATTTCTGTCAACCACTAAAATATCAAAGCTTCCTCAAGTACAGACCCATTTCACATTGATTTTCTTACCTATACTTTTCCGTGTCATTATAAATTTTTTAAATAAAACAACGAAATATAATCATCTTGAGAGATAGCTTATGTTTTATTGTTGATGTATTTCCATTCCAAATGCCATTTTAAGGTTTTCTGCTGAATTCACCTTCACATATGTTGTACTTACCCTGCTCTTAGAATTTTGATTCTTATTTATCCAATCTTTGAAGTGACTCGCTCAAATGGCTCTGAGAGGCTCTTGGCGTTCCTGGAGACTACATGAAGAAATACATACAAGCTGAGGACACTTTTAATCACATTTCTGCTATCTTCTTTAAGATAGCTGAGTGGAAGCTTAAGGGAAAGAAATGGTGCTGAGGGGGTAGAGTCTACCTCAGATAAAGCATTGTTCACCGCTTTTGTCTTTCCATAGACAACCTAGGAAAACTACTCTGGGGTGAGCATAGGTCAAAAAAAGCTGCCATTACTATCTCAAAGATTTCAGTTGAACACCATCTTTACCACCATCATCATCCTTTGTTCGAGAGGAAAGATGATTTTTGTCCCATACGGTTTCTCCTGTTTATTTTCCAAAGTGGGGAGTTGCACTCTCATGCTTCCATTCCCTGACCCTTATTTTACCAGGCAGCCTCCTCTTCCTTAGATGGGTTAAAAATAAAAAAGAATAAATAGCATTCAATGAAATAATGTCTGAATATCAGTGGAGAACAAAGTGAGAACAAGGGGCCTGTTCTTCCAGAGGAATGGAACATCTCCCACTAATGAAAAGAGGAGATCCCAGCAGAAACTTAGAAAGTGTTCAATCTCTCTCGGTTAACCTTTTGCAAATATTTCACACATTTTTTTGACACACCCATGAAAACTTCCCTCCTCTTTCTGCCTCCTCCCCTCTTCCAACTATCAGCTGTCTGAGTTCTGCTAATCACAAGGGTGAGGTTCAACTGGTGAAAACATTTTGCAGCAAAAGGAATTTACCCTTTGACCCTTTTCTTTTCTTTGCCGGCTGCTCTAATATAAAATTCCATTGTTGTAAAGCCAGCATCAGTGAAACCCACCCAGTGCTTATGGCAAAAGAAAAAAAAAAAGCCAAATTACCTTGGTGGAAAATGGCTCATTGGCAGCCTTTTGTGAAACTAAGGAAGCCACAGCTTTCCCAGTTCCTAATAATCAGTCCTCACTCTTGGGATCACCCATGCTATGTTGGACTTTATATGGGGTTTTTTTGCCCTCACTTGGCAAATAACTCTTGAAAGCATCCCTGCACACTGTGGATGGACTCCAGCAGTCCTAACCCATTCTTTTGATGTGTCAGAATAGTTCCTTTGACTCCCACAGAGTACCCATTGAAAAAGGTCTGTTTCTTGTACTTAATTTCTGGACAAATAGGTAACTGGCACCATACTCAACTGACTTTATAGGACTTACATTTAGGTAGCATTACTTAAGAAAGATGGGGGGAAATATTTACCTACAAGAGGCTGTGTTTTGTTTGAAAAGACAAATGTGACATCACCTTGTGTATTCCTAGGTTCTATTCTGGTCCTATGACTAAGTAAATTAAACCCACCGCATCCGAGAGAACTCAACAGGCTAATCCCAAAATGTTAATATCCCTGTCCTTTACAAGTGAGAGCCAAATGGTTTTCCCTGGTGTGGTTTCAAATACTTTTTTCTGCAAAATATGTTTTCATTTCTTCTTAATCATGGTACATTAAGCTAAAGCATAAATGCATCTCTCATAAAAATCACCTCTTACATCCCACTGAGATGAAAACAAAAAACAAATGGTCTGGTCAAATTTTAAATAATTGTGACAGTCTAATTACATGAATAAAATAGGAAAAAAATAGGTATTTACCTGCAATGAGGAGAAATAGTGAGAAATAATTTTACTAAATAATAGACTGTCCACTGAATATCTTCCACCCAGCTACCTAATGGTTTATCATGAGAAAGAATGAGGTGGATTTTGATATTTATAAATATTCCTTAATTTAACAAAGTAAATTTTTATTGTTGAACTAAATATTCAAATTTCTTATTATTACTGATGGATTTTACTGCATACTCAAAATTTGTTCAAAAATATACTTTTATGTGAGTATAAACCAGTGATTATCACTGGAGAATGCTCTGAAGCATTCATAATTAAATTCATGCCTATTAATCATATACATAAACATGGCTAAGATGTAGATCTTGCTTTTCTAAAGTCTCTCATGTTTTTAGATAGCTAAATAAAACTGATGCTGTCATATAGATAAACACATTTATAGTAGTCCCCCTTTATCTGTGGGGATACATTTCAAAACCCCCAATGGATGCCTGAAACCACAGATAGTACTGAATGCTATATACTATATATACTGTATTTTTCCTACACATACATACCTATGATAAAGTTTAATTTATATTAATAAATTAGGCACAGTAAGAGATTAACAATAACTAGTAATAAAATAAAAAATTATAACAATATACTATAATAAAGGTTATGTGAATGTAGCCTCTCTCCCTCTCTCTCCCTCCCTCTCTTTCTCTCTCTCTCTCTCTCTCTCAAAGTATCTTATTGTACTGTAGTCACCTATTTTCAGACTGCATTTGATCACTGGTAACTGAAACACATAACACAAAACTGCCGAAAGCAAAACCATGGATGGATAGGGGTTGGGGGCTACTGTATTTATCAGTAGGCTAAAGAGAGGCAACAAAGAAATTTATACTAAAATAAGCAGAAAGAGGAAGTAAAAAGAAAAACAAACTGAGGACATCTCTGCTTGAATGTCTCTGACATAAGGTCAGAAGGATTTATTTCCTGGATAGAGTTCTACTTAGAATGAACCTGGTCTAAGTGGCATCCCTGTGCCTTCATTATTTTTTAGAAGCAATTTTTAAACATTTAATTTTATGATCACCCTTAAGAATCACAATATTTGCAGAGACCAAAGTTGAGATTCTGGCTATAAACATGTAATATTTGTGACTAGATCTGCAGGGTTCAAGCCTGATGTATTCATTGAGTAACAGTGTGACACAAATGTAGTTGTCAGTCATTCACTATTTTGAAAATTCAGTTGATTATCTCTCTACTGCTATAGAATAGAATATCCTTGGCTAATTTAGTGAATTGGGATGTAATTTTCTAAAATGATTTCTTGCCTAAGTAGATGTCATTGTGTGTGTAGCTTTGAACATAACTACACATTGTCCTGCAGAGGGTTTGCGTCTTTTTACATTTTTCTTTCAGAGCTTCATTCTAGTGCAACACTATCATCTGGATTTATCTGTACTTCTCAGTACTTCAGTTTCCTCACCTGTAAAATGGATGTGATAATAGTATTTACTTCATGGAGTTTCTTTAAATAGGTGGATTATTACATGCAAAGGATTTAGAACACTGCCTGACAATAAATATTAGTACTGCTTTCTTTTCTTTTTTTATCAATCTTATTATTATCAATCATATCTCTTGTTTTATTTTGTTTTGTTTTGGTTTCCTGGGGAAACCTTTGCCTTTGCATTGTCCGCATCTCCTAATTGTAGGCACAACTTGGCATATGCTTTTAGGAAAGCCTGCTAGATATTACTACATTCTTAAAATACTAACAGAAGCTTCTTGCTACTGGAAAAAGATATTAGAATAAGCAAGACACATAATGTCTAGCCTTTGATATACATACACATGATTTTAAAATGTGAATGAGGCAGGGGAATATCATGAGTGCATTTTTCAATGAATGCTCTCAAGTTAGAAAACTAATCATAGTCTCAAAGTCTCAAAGTACAAAAACTGAATTCCCTATATATCCTATGTGTTTCTGCCTATCTACTTAAAGTATAAAGTGGCCTTCTATTCTCTTGTACTTAATCTCAATTTATTTTTATACTAATTAATTAATATTTATTATGTATTCTCATGAATTTGTTTCTGCCAGTACTAAAAACATGTGAATACAGTAATAACAGAGGAACAGATAATAAGTAGTCCCTAAAGTATGGGTCAGAGGGCCTAGGATTTAGTTCCTCTACCATTTGTTACCTGTTTATTCTTAAATTGCTTAAGCTTTTTTCATCTGTAATAGTCTTAAAAACTTGTTTAATAATGTATTTGAAAATATTTTGTGAACTTTGAATCTCTAATGGAATGTAAGGTAGCAGTGTTATTATTACCACTGATAATATTAAGCATTAAGAGAGTGGCAGAAACCCTGAAAGACTTTGGCTTGGACAATGGAGGAGACATGGTGTGAAGTCAAGAGGACTAGACACCGTGAAGCAAGCTGAAGAGACTTGGATCAGGGCTTTATTCATTCTGCAGAAAATATTACATGTCTCAATTTCTTGAAATACAAGGTGATAGGTTGTTATGAGTATTAAATTAGACAATATATGCAAAGTACATAGTACAATGCCTAACATTCAGGAAACAGTAAGAATTAACATTAGAATGACTTCAACATTTAATATCTGAGTGACTTTCTATTGATCACTTACTCTAAATTTGTTTCCTCATTTTAAAAACAATAATAATTGCCATCTCACAGGCATTTTGTGAGGACTGTATAAATTATACCACTTTGCACAGCATTGGATATATGCAGTATTTATTCAGTGATAGCTGCTATTAGTGGCAGCAGTGGAGTAGTTGTTAAAGCTGGTGCAGCAGCAGCAACAGTATTAGATTTGTGCCTGACACTGGGCTAGCACTAGAGAATACTGCAAATTATTTAATATGGCTAGAATATAGAGAGATCAATCTGAAGAGGTAAGAGAGCCTTACTATTGGGGTGTAATCAGCATATTTAAATAGTTTGAATATTTAAACAGCTTGAATTTTTATTTTGAAGGCAATAGTGAGCCATTGCAGGATTTTTTTTTAAATCAAAAATAATATAATCATATTTGTGTTTTAGAATGATCCCTCTGACTAAAGTTTATAGAGAGTGGATTGGAGAGAGGCAAGAGTAAGAAACAGAAGACCTGTTAGAAAGCCAGTGCAAAATTTCATGTGGCAAATGATGTTTGTCTGGAGTAAGCTTGGTGACAATGGAGATGGAGAGAAATCAGATGTGAGAGAGCTTTAGGAGTTGTATTAATAAGACCTAGTGATTGATTATATGGGTAGAGTGAGGCGGCATCGGGATATAAGGATGTTGATTTGGCTGTGAAAGGGAATAACAGGGATCAGGAATTTCTCTCTTGATCTTAACTCCCTAACTAAAGCCCCTTCTGGAGCCACACTGGAAAAAACTGTATGTTACCCTCCTTCAAAATGCATCTTAATGAAACCTTTTCTAAGTTGAAGGAAATATATTCTGTTATTGCACTCATTGTAATAAAGAGTTTGCATGGGATCCTTGATTTTCACCCAAAAAATGTTAATATTTTTCTATGACATGTACCAGGCTCAAGGATTGCCCCTAACAAAACCACTCAGATGTGTACAGTCTCCACCTATACATACCCATCCCACAACTAGTGCATCTTGATTTACCTAGTGGTAAATCAAAACCATCATCTTTCCAGATAAAGAACAGCGTATATTTGTTGAACACTTACTCAAAGTCCTCAGCTGCATCCTGGAGTCAGGTGTGTGTGTGTGTGTGTGTGTGTGTGTATGCACAAAGATGAAGCAGAAATGGAGTAATTTTAAGGAGCTATAGTCTGGTAGAGATGAGAAGACATGTAAATAAATAATTATAAAATTGGGTGATGGTGACTAGAGGCACAATAATTTATATATTCTACATCTACTTTTATGGTACTTTTAACATTAACCTTGTGTTTATATGTCGGTATCCTAAATAAGAGACTATGAGCTCCTTGAGAGTAGAGACTATTTCATTCATTTTTATGTCTCCCCAGTCTAGTATAGTTCCTGTAGGAGATCTAGAAATGTTTTTTGAAGGACAGGTACAGATATAGTGTTATAGTGTTTCCAAATGTTGTGGGTAAGGATTTTAGTCAGAAACCATGTTAAATTGGTGATTTCTAGAAACACCTGGAGATGAGACAAATAATAAAGTTTATCATATAGGAAGAAGCATCTTCCCCTCAATATGATGAACAAACAGACCCAATTCTAAAGAACAATCAAATTCATTATATTTGTAACTGGTAGACAGTGAAAAGTCCAGAAACTTTCTGTACAATAAACCTTCACCTGTGACCAAGTATTCTTAGCTACCACACTATAAGAATAGTTGATCTCAATCAACCCCTAACTTGCTTCACAGAGACAAGTTCTTGTGATCTGCTAACAACATAAAAATTCTTTTTAGAAGACTACACCCAGCAAGTAGGAAACCAAGGATTCCACATTCCAAAAATTAGCAGAATCTTATCACAGCTGAATGAGGCCAAGGATAGGGAAGAATAGAGGAATAAACCTATCCCCAATAAAGGAAGAAAATAAGTTAGCCAAGAAAAGCAAACATTGAGTTTAGCTCTTAAAGACCTTAGGGAAAAGATAAAAGTACTTCTGCTTAAAAACTTTTAAGGAATTTCATATCTGGGAGATTTTGCCTAGAACTTAGTGTGTATGTTTATTGTATACCCAAACGTACATTTACTTCATGAAAGACTTTCTTCAAATTTTCCTCTGCCTTTAGACTGTCGTTATTCATTAGTATTTGTTTTATTTCCAGTGTACTCCAAAGTGTGGCCCAGGATTCAAGCATCGGATTGTTCTATGCAAGAGCAGTGACCTTTCTAAGACTTTCCCAGCTGCACAGTGTCCAGAGGAAAGCAAACCTCCTGTCCGCATCCGTTGCAGTTTGGGCCGCTGCCCTCCCCCTCGCTGGGTAACAGGAGACTGGGGCCAGGTAAGGCATTTTTAATGTGGGCTCCTGCTGAAATAGCACCTTGAGACACAACCTGAGGTTCCTGATTTGGTCACTGTAAGGGCTTGAGAGATGAGTAATAATTAACACACAGAAATCTAGGTATGAGACATGAATGTGACACGATGCATAAACTGTAGTAGCCACAGGGACACATACACAATTAGCCAATGTTTCTCCCACACCTGTATACTTCCCACTTTTAACTACTCTTTGTATTCTGCCATTTTAAGTTAAAATTAAAAGAGAAATAGTCTAGATAGCCAGAGATTTGAACAAGCTACTAAAAAGTTAGATTCTAGACCCAGCTCTCTCAGTTAATTCAAGGACACATCAGTTAACACCAGTGTCTTAATTTTCTCACTCGCAAAATAGAGGTAATTACTCTTAGCCTTACAAAAAAACTGTAGAGTTTTTGTTATAATTAGCTTGATAATGTGATTGATAATCTTTGAAACATTAATACCTATTCTTTAATTGATTTGTTTTTCTCTGATGGACACTATGAATTGGGAAATAAGTATAGAGGACTTTTGGTATGTGTTTTTATGTTAGACTCATTTCCATTTTATGTTCTAATTCCTGTTTTTTCTTCTTTCTTATCTACTTTTAAATTGTGTCATCTTGCTATAGGACACCTTCAATCCTATAAAAACAAGTTGGTTCTCACCATAAAAATGATAACTATGTGAAGTAATGCATTTATCAGTTAGCTAGATTTAATCATTCCACAATGTATACATACTGTAAAACATCATGTACACAATAAATACATATAATTTTGTCTATCAATTTTTTAAAATTTTAAAACATAAACCAAGTTGATATATGTGAATGGAAGGAAAATTAGGTATTATTCTTCTAAATGTCAAAGAGGAAATCTATTTGGTTACATTAAAAAATAATGCCCCACAAAGTAAATTTCTAGCCAGTCAATGCCTTTATCCTGTGGTTCATAATTGGCCTTGTAGCTAGTCATTTTCTAATATTTGAAACCCAAATAAATCATAATGGTATGTAACTATACCAGTGTGATTTTGTTTGTGCTATAGGCCTGCCATTACTTATTAAAAATAGCATTTCATAGAAGTAGTTACCAAAATTCTGGCCAAAATTCAATATTGCTAGAGTATAGCAGTATCTATATATCTCTTTTGTTTCATTTGAGAGAAAGCAAAGATTTTCAGTACCCATTATGGTAAATAAATATATTTGCTCTGTGCTCAGCCCTTTGGGGAGACAAAAGAAGTTTAACTGAAAAATAATTAATGCTTTGTATCTCAATAGCAATATTTAGCTTAATTTAAAAATGCTCCAGTGGAATACGCATGATAAGGTTAACCTTTGTATGCAGTTAAGTAACAAAATGTGTTTTACTATAGAAGTGTGACAGTTTCACAATACGTAATTGATATTATACTAATAAAAGAATCGGTACAGACATGCTGTTATGATTTTTATTTTAATCAGGAAGCCGTTTTCTTTTTTATATATTTTTTGTTGCAATACACTGTTACATAAAGCTCAATTGAAAGTAGTTGTATTTTAGTGATTTGGCCAAACAATTGTCAATTTTAGATTATTCTTTTAAGTGGCGTCCAATCCTTTTCTTCCCATCTACATTTCAACCTAGTTTCCTAAAATTCAAAATAACCAGTTAAAATACATTTTCAAAGATGCTTTAATATGTTTATAGTGCATTTATTTGTCATTCTATACTAGAAAGTTAAAAAAGAAAGTGTCTTAATGAATATCCTTACAAGTCCTGAGGGTGCTTTGAAAGTTTTTGCAAACAAATCTAACTGGACTTCAATTTGTTTACCTTGTAAACATCACCATCCCCTGTCTTGGCACCAGTTAACTCCTCATTCCTTTGATCCCAAATCTCACAGGCTTTCTGGTATTCTGGATGGCGGGCCCAAAGAATAGACCCCGCTCCATTCTTCAACTGGGACAGCTGATCAGACTCAGCTGAAACTAAGCCTCTCAGAGTAACTTCAGTCCTAAAGTACTGAATTCCTGAGAGCAGATGAAAAAGGAGAGAGAGACATCCTAATTGGCTAATACCAGACCACTTCTCAGATTTGTGGCTGACAGTACCTTAGAAACTCATGGGACTTTAAATAAGTCTTAAAAAAGAGAGAGAGAGAGACAGGGTCTTGCTCTATTGCCCAGGCTAGAGTACAGTGGCACAATCATAGCTCATTAGGATCTAATACCTGGGCTCCTCCCACCTCAGCCTCCTCAGTATCTGGGACTACTTATGTATGCCACTATGCCCAGTTAGTTTTTTTTTTTTTTTTTTTTTTTGGTAGGCATAGGGTCTCCCTGTGTTCTCCAGGTTGGTCTCGAACTCCTGGCCTCAAGTGATGCTCCTGCCTCAGCCTCCCAAAGTGCTGGGATTACTAGGTGTGAGCCACTGCATGCAGCCTCTTTTTTTTTTTCCACTGACCCCATCACCAAGCCCCACAGCAGTCACTGCTATTATACTGACCTAATAGTTTGATCAGATACAGATCATTCCAACAGGCCATCAGGTTATTTACCTGCATGCCTGTAATAAATAGGGAGCAATAGTGATGTCCTAGCCCTAGACATGATTCTACTTCATCACAAGGATTTTCTCAATATACTCCTGCAAGAGTTTACCAGACTTGCTTGGAATTATTGGAGTGATAGCCCAAGAAATCGCCACCTATTTTCTTCTGGGAACATTGAGTCTATTTTCTAGGGTAATAGCATGATCCTTGAGTTTGTAAATCAGTTTTATAGTAGAATAACCTAATCGTACACCTTTCAAAGATGAACCACATATGGGCTTTAAAAGTTAATGCATATATATTGTATTTGAAATGACATGGTATCTTTTTTACCTCCTGAAAATTATTGAGATTACCATTTTGTTTCTCTGTGTCTTTGAATTTAGTGTTCTGCTCAGTGTGGCCTTGGACAGCAAATGAGAACGGTGCAGTGTCTCTCCTACACTGGACAGGCATCTAGTGACTGTCCAGAAACAGTTCGGCCTCCGTCAATGCAGCAGTGTGAAAGCAAATGTGACAGTACCCCCATATCTAATACTGAAGGTGAGTTTTCCATGGAGAAAGAGCTGTGATCTCTAATAACTCAACTTCATTGTTGCCAGGGTTTGGAGAGCCCCATACACCCACTGTTGTAGTCTTGTTTGTATAGAGCGTTTGTGAAAGCTGCATGTGTACTGGACTATAATCAGGAAACCTAAATTTATTCCTAACTCTTTCACTAACTAAATGACCTTGTTAAGTCACTTAACCTCTCTGGAGCTAAGTTTACCTATCTATAAAGTTGGAGTGGATAATCTCTAAGGTCTTGTCCAAGTAGTCTATGTTTGACTTGTACTAGAAATCTAGAGATTATTTCTAATGAATCACTCTTAAAGTGAAAACTTCTCTTTCTTTTTTGATGTGACAATGGATCTCTATCATCATGAAGATTAAATTCATTGCTTGTTATGCATATAATGAAAACATGTGTTTGAAACTACTAGCATTTTAAATGCTAATTTTCTTGTTGTAGAAAAGTAAAAAAATAATAATTCTGTAGCTGTTTATAAAGGAGGTCAAAAGTCTTTGTGTTCTGAAATTTTTCTTTTTTTATATATCGGGAAATCCCTATATTAACAGCAGATGCTAGCCAAAATTCTGACTTTTCTTATCTCTTATTCAAATAAAACTACTTTCTTTATTCATTTAGGCATTGATTAGAAATTTCTTAAATGCTACTATGTGCAAGGCACTACAACAGAAATTATCAGGAATGAGGAAACAAATATGGCATAATCAGGAAGTTCAGACTGCCTTCGCATATGAAAATAGAGGCATGATCAAATACATGCACATAAACAACATCCAAAGCCACAAATTTGAATTATATAAGAAACCTATAGGGGCCTGCCAAAAAAAAAAAAAACTGTCATGCATATGTAATCAAATAACTTGTTAGTATTTTTCAAGTAAAAATTATATGCTTATAAAACTATTCAAGAGAGATCTATTCCTTTTGAGCAGATCTATGTAGTTCAAAGGATTTTTTAAAATTACATTCATTATTTTAAAATATTTCCTTAGGAATTTTGTTTTAGGAAGAGCAATTATCTTGCATGACAAGATCTAGACACCTTGCATCTTTTCGAATTGTCTATTTTTTATATATGAGCCTCAATGCAAGATACTTATTGTACACGTAATTTACTCTTTCGATGAAATATAGCCTTGTTATACTACAATAATTCAAAAATCACAATTTTATGAGACAGGCGCTTTAACCAACTAAGCCATAGAGCCACACGAAAATCACAATTTTAATTTTTAAAATCTCTGGCTCTAATGCCATCTACTTCTTTTTTTTTTTTTCTTTGTTTAGTAAGGGACATTCTGGAAATCTAGCTTTCCCTCTTGTGTTGAGGGCTCAAAATTCATGACAAATATTTTTCTTGGAAAAAAATTAAAATTAAAAATTGAAAAAGAAATATTTTTCTTGGAAAAACTATGTCTTCTAAATGATCTTTTAAAAAAACTCTCTTCTATAAGACGTCAGCAAACACCCATGAATATATACAAATAAAAAATAAATGTAAAGAAAAGACTGCAGCAAACAACTTTTATCTATTGAAAGTTACTATTACCAATTAATCATATGAGATTGGGGGTCTATTTTTCTTTCAGAATTGGAAGATAAAAGATTAAGGTGGGAGGCAGGATATAATTATCATATTCAACTATTCTATGTTGGATATTATCTATCATGCATATCATATACATAAACACATCTCTCTCTGTAAGTATATGTGTATGTGTGTATAATATCTTATATAATCTTGACAACAATCTTCTGAGAGTTGCTATTACTAATGAGGAAAATGAGGCACAGAGAGGTTTAGTGACTTGCCCAAATTAAAAGACTAGAAAGTAGTAGAATCAGGATCTGATCCCAGATTTGGCAGAGCCCAAGTACACATCAGTTTCAACTACATTTACATGCTATTCTTAATTAAATCTTTAAAGTAGGGTATTTTGACATGAAAATAGAGTTTCTGGTTATGAGGTAGAGATACTTCTGGCGTGGCTGTCAGCCTATTTCAATAGATTAAGCCTTAATCATTGCTGAAAGAACTGTCTTTGGACATGTTACGGGAACTCAAATGCAGGACCAAAGACTTTAACCTTTTGGATGAAGGCAGGCCTCATAGAGTTAAGCAGTCTATGAGCCAGCTGTAACATGTAGTTGGAAAAACCCAGTGTGAATCTTGGAAAAAGTGAATAAAACATTTGAGCTGAATCATGGATTTTCATCCATAGAGAGATGGAATGGACAGATAACATGGATTTCAAAAGAGAAGAGGCTTTTGCATGAAAATAATGTGAGAGTGGTCTGATATGGCTTGTGAAAATCAGATCACGGAGAGTAGAAATGCCTCCTTAGTAAGGGAAAGTTGGGAGGAAAGTTGGAGAAGGAGCAATTTCTGGTTAATGCGGAAGAATAGAAGAGGACTCCCTTTCCCCAGGCAGAATCAGACTCCTATGACTTTTAGTGGGAGGCATTGATAGACCAGTTTAGCTCTACTCCAAGACAGGGTACAGGGTAGGGTTAGGGGAGATCTCTTGGGATCTAAAGTACAGTCTTTCAATTGAATCACTATGGATGATACTCAGATATAATCTTGAGAATTGTTTTAACTACCAAGGTTAGGTCATGGTCCCCCTCCCCTTCATGTATTTTGTTATAAAAATAATTAAAAGTTTCAAACATAAGCAAAATTGAAAGTTTTACAATGAACTCTCACCGTCTAGATTCTAGCATTAACATTTTACTGAACTTGCTTTATCACACATATATATCCACCTGTTCATCCCTCAAGGATATGGTTTTTAAATAATGTGCTCCACTCATCCAGTCATTAATTAATTTACTTAGCATACTTACTATGTGTCAGGCACTGACTATGAGAGGAATACAATAAGGTCCTTATCCTCAAAGGGAAGCACAGTGAACAGTAGGGGTGGCAACTTGCAAACAAATAATTTTCACAATGTGAACAGTATTGTAATAGAGCTAGAAAGACACTACCATGGGTGCAGGGGGCAGAGGCATCACAGAGAAGGCAAGCTTGAGCTGGGCACTGGAAAGTACGAAACATTTTATCAAGAAGACATTGAGATGAGGGCATTCCTGGCAGAGCACAGTGTGTGCATCATGGGGGCAGCATGGAGTATGTGGTTCACTATGGCTGCAGTGTAGTGCCACATGAGCAGGCAGTGGAGATGAGGCTACTGAGAGAGAGACAGGGACTTGGTTTTAGAGGGTTCTGTGTGCAGTGGAAGGATGTTAGGACTGTATCTTCAGGTTTTAGGGAACATGTGAAAGAAATTGGGGCGTGACATGCTCAGGATGGCAGAGGGAAAGCAGCCTTGTGTGAGAGAAGAGTTAGAAAGAGTTGTTCTAAGACTCCAGCCTAGAGATGATGAAGGCTTGAACTAAGGCAGATATAGTAGAGATTAAAAGGAAGGTGATGAATTGGGGGGAAAAAGAATAAAATGAAAAGGAGAGTAAAAAGAATCTGATGAACAATTAGACATGGGGATGAGAGATATGGAGGTATACAGGATGATTCCTAAATTTCAGATTTAGGTAACTGCGTACCATTAGTCATGATAAGGAATTTAGGCATCTATAGGCATCAGTCCCCCAAAATCATAATAAAAATAATGGAATTAGAATAAGATAAAAAAAATAGAGATTGAAGAAATGGAGGTAGATTAAGCAACAAAGAATAGTAAGAGAAAGAAAATTAGAAGTAGGGCTTCAAGAAATTAAAATAGTAAGAGAGAAGTAGGAGGAGGAAAAAGGGAGATACAATTTGCTGTGTTCAATATCTGCTTTAGTTTTTTGTTTCTGGAAGTCTTCAACAAAGGGTTAAAGCATTACAGACGTGATCCTGACAGACTGCCACTGATGAAGCTAAGAGTGAATTATAGACATGCTGGGTATTTGTACCTTTGACATACTGAGAATAATTTTTTAAAGAACATATGTTAGCTGGGACTATCCTAGTCAGGTTCACCTGAAATTCTATCCAAAATGCCATTTTATTCATCTTTCATGGAGTTTCAAATTCCTTTGTAGTTTATATAGTGAGTCTTTTCAGCTTCTCAATAGCACAAGACACTCTGTCATACAGTATTTATTGCTACCAGGTAATGATTCATGGTGTGCCATGAGCTAGTAACCAACCCAGGAAACATGTGGTTAGTGTACATTGGTTTACCAGCCTAGGATGTCTAATGGTGGCTGTGAAGGGTCTCAGTCTCCCCCAAGTAAATAGCTCTGGGAAAGCCGAGGCAGCTCCAGAAATCTCATACCAAGATCCCTGGAACAAACTAGCCACTGAATTTGAGTTTTAATGTGGAATCTGATGTATTAAAATCAGTGAAAGGAATGATAAAGGTCATTTGAATACTTTGATTTCAAGGAAGTGAGGAAAGCCAGTTTTTTTCTTTGCCACTTCAAAGAGCTCCTAATCCACTTAGCATTCAGGCTCACATTCCTGGCTGTCTGGTTTGGAGAGAACCCTGGATTTGGGTTGAGATTATACCACCTCAAGGTTGAATGTGGGTGGCATCCAGGGAATAAGACTAGGTAAAAAGAAACTGAGAAAGCAAAGAGAAAAAGGAATGGTTTAGTCCATGGGAAAGTGAAATCAGAATGAAGTTCAACAGCTGATGTCATCTTGCTTCAAGGATAAAAAGAAGTTGGCGGACTGTTCCCATTGCAATGAATAATGTCAAGTTCCCAAGCGAAACTTATTTCATCATTTTCTAGCATGACTATGTAACCTGTCAAGGGCTCAAGTACAATTTTATCAGGAAAAGTATACTGAGTTCACATCCCGCACCCCGACTCCTGCACTGCATGTGCACACACACAGCCTTTGCCGTCTCACCTCTCACCAGGTGCTGCATTTCCATGGCAGTTTGGCAGAAGCACGGCTGTTTATACTTTTTGAATCTAAAAGATAAACCCTTAGGTGCTTAAGTCATAACTCTCCACT